TATCTTGTGAACTTAACTGTGTACACAAGGAAACTGAAGCCCAGAGAGGTAAAGCACTGTGCTCAAGGTCACACAGCAGGTAAGGGGCAGAGCTGGGATTTGAAGCCAGGCATTCTGCCCTGGAGTCAAAGCCTTAACCAATCCATCACATGCCCTCCCTTTTGGGGCATTTTCAGGATGAAGTTATCTCTCGGGCCTGCTCTTCCTTGTCCATTCATTGGAACCACATGGTCAGAAGTTCCCCTGCCCACATAACTGTCTTAGAAGGTATGTACCTTTCCCCCAGTTAATATGGGGACTATCTGGGTAATCTGCAGTGTCTGCACCTGCTGGTGCTAAATGTGGGAAAGGCCCTTGAGCCCTCAGTTAGCAGGGGGATGCAGAGGAGAATGAGGAACCCAGTGCCCTCCCTACAGTGAGACAGAGAGGACTGCCTTGGGCCCAGGGAAGGCTGCAGGGTGATCAGGTCTGTCCACACCCAGTCCCCACCTACACTGCTGGGGTTGGTGATCTCACAGTGAGCTAGGCAGTAGCTGGGAGAAGCCTGTGGGATGCTACACTGGGAGAAGGTGGTTCTTGGACCTAACTAAGCCTGAATCAAAATGGCACACTTTTGGGACAGGCTTAAGGGGGCTTTGGGGCCCCCACTGCCTGCCTCTGCCATGGTTCCATCTCTTCAAGGATGGTAAAACTCCAAAGTGCTCCTACCGGGGAGGAGGGGGTCTTCACCTTCCTTTGTTGTTGTTGTTAGGTGCTGTCGAGTCACTCAGACTCATAGTGACCCAACGTACAACAGAATGAAACACTGCCCAGTCCTGCTCCAGCCTCACAATCTTTGCTATACCTGAGCCCATCAATGCAGCCACTGTGTCAATCCATCCCATTGAGGGCCTTCCCCTTCTTTGTTGACCCTCCACTTTACCAAGCATGATATCCTTCTGCAGGGAATGATCCCTTCTGACAACATGATCAAAGTAGGTGAGATGATGTCTGACCATTCTCGCTTCCAAGGAGCATTCCAGCTGCACTTCTTCCAGGACAAATTTGTTCCTTCTTCTGGCAGTCCGTGGTATTTTCAGTATTCTTCGCCAGCACCACAACTCAAAAGCATCAACTCTTCTTCGGTCTTCCTTATTCATTGTCCAGCTTTCACATGCATATGCAGTGATTGAAAACACCATGTCTTGGGTTAGGCGCACCTCAGTCTTCAAAGAGACATCTTTGCTCTTCAGCATTTTAAAGATGTCTTTTGCCAGAGAGAGTTACATGGGCAGTACAAACAACAAATATGAACCCCTTTGTAAATACAATACTGAGTTGT